TCATGTAATCTGGCGCTAACTACCAAAACTACGGAGATGTCGCTAGTAATAGCGAAAGTATAGTAATATTCCGTTTTACGTGCAAGGTCCGTTATGCCTTGAGTTTCCCTACTTATCCTAATCAATTAGATAAATAGAAGCATCCGACATGACTAGGTACTCTACCGTCGCCCGTCAGAGAAAAATTCATTCACTTTATTAGTTTACTTTCGAGAGGACTTCTAAATTTCTTCTGGAGACAAGTTCCTGCTACCTCCAAGAAAAATAAACAGACAACAAGACATCTCCGTCATATGTCAACAAAGTAAGGGAAGCGATCCGCACTAATTGAAATAAGTTAAGTATAGCGTCGTTGATATAAAAACTTTATCGTGCTTTGCTGTCCACAAAATTATGAGCTGCTATATTGGACATGGACACTGCAGCGACTCATAAAAAACAGGAGACACAGGCGTACTGGTTGAAGGTGTTGACGGAAAGCCATTTGTTGTAAATGTCTTATAAGAAAACATCTCTTCTGTGCTTTCAGTCATCGACATATGCCATTTGAGATATGAGGATAATGAGACTTCAACGTTCTTGAGACCCACAACATTCTTTGAGTTATTCCACAAAGCGATGAGTGATGAAAGAACAGGACCCCCCAAAGTTTCTTCTCTCTCTAAATCATACACAATTGGTAACAATCCATATAATATGAAAGATAATACGAACTACACGGCTTTAAACTTAAACATCGCATTAAAATTGTATAGTGGAATCACTGTTTCAGATATCAAGAGCATGTGAGTAGTTTGAAGTATTAAAAATATGTACTCGTACATATGTGTGTATGTGTAAATGCAAGTTAATACCCACGTACGAGAATTTATTCTTCTGTGGGTAAATTCAGTTTATTTACGTATACCTATGTTAGTTTTAGTTATATTTGTATGTTACGTGAATAAACTTATTATTATTATTATTATTTACGCTAAATTTCTTAGAACTTTTTCTAAATAATATCATGCTAAAAGTGCGCAGATGCCTACTGCGCATTTTGAGCAGTACAGTGGCTGATAGAACCGCTACGTGACAAGGAATTACATGTTCTGTGTTTGATGATTAGATGAGATGATGATTTTTTGACAAAAATAAGCCCAGCCTCAAGTACCTTCGTCAGTCCTTGTCATCAGCTGTGCTCATCCGTTTCCCGAAGCTCTCCTTCTTATGCTGTATGCTGTTATTCTACTTGTAGATTGAAAGACTTGAAAGATGTCATAGTCAGTGTGGCATACCTCCAAACGAAATATGTTTGTTTATATGCTGTGAAAAGCACGGTCTATTAAAACAGAAACGCCATATAGGCTGCGTTGGATAAGATCAGACTGACTGTAGAACAAACTAGGTCTATAGGCCAGTGGATCCTCCACTAGAAGCTATTTATTCAGCGTCTGGAGCACACCCATTTCCCGATCCCTCCGTTTTTATGAAGTGATCAGCTACAACTCAGATCGCTGGGTATCGCTCAATTTTCTACAATTTCCTGTTCGTTTAAAGTAGTAAAGTAACAAACCCCAACGAAAAGTATAGTTAGTATGACGTGATAAATGGCAGTTCGATTTGACAGTTATAGCTTTTTCTACCGACTACGCATGATTTCGTACCAGATTTATTACAACAATTTCTTTACGTGACGGACAGGATTGTAATTGGTAAACAAATTGCGAACTAAATTCAGTAACGCACTTTTTTCACAAAATTTGATACCGAGTTGTGAACAAAATTTTGTATCGTGACAGACAGCCTTAAAAGAGGAATGGCATGGCTTTGTAGTATATGTAAACGTGGTGAGACAGTATTAGTCGATCATTATGTAAGAAACTCAGAGGGTATAGCATTATATTGTGCATCAAAGAACCGTGTTCTATAAAATAGAAAGGGTCTGTTATGTGAGGCGGAAGGGACCAAAAAAGTGCCCGTCACGAACGCTTGCGGTTGAAAGCGATACTGATAACGTCTGCTACTGGAAGAGAGCGTTGGAGGTCCGTGCTCAAATTATGAATGAAAGCACGTGTAACATTGAAATCGATTGCAAATACGTATTTATGATATCATCATTTTGTAGATAGGTTTCCAGTAAGGATACTTAGAATTATAGTATCGATAAGATCGTATTAAGAGACCTATACAGGGTGTCGCATCGGGAACTCCATCGATATATTTCTCGAAGTGTAGGGATATGATATTTTTGAAAATTTGGGAGTGTACTAATGTCAATGGGGCAACGGCCGCTAAAATATTTTCAAGATGGTACCACGTCTGGTTATACGTTATATTAAAACTTAGAAATTATGCATAAAAGACAATATCAGACAAATATCCGTCTCTAGAGGCCGCGAAAGCCTGAGACCTCTTGATTACATTGTCCATCACTTTTTGGCAGGATTCATGACGGATATTTTCAATCGCTTCCATAATATTGTTCTTCGGCTGCTCTACAGTATCTGGTTTGTTGACATTAATCCTATTTATTAAAAATCCCCATAAAAAAAGAAGCCAGGTGCCGTTAAATTCGGTGACTTTGGTGGCCAGTTGACATCACCAAATTGAGAAATTAAACGTCCCAGAAATATTATTCGCAAAAGACTAATTGTTTCCCTAGTTGCGTGACCAGTTGCTCCGTCCTGCAGGAACGACATGACTTGCAGGTTAAATTGTTGCGTTTGAGGATCCAGAAAGTTTTGCACCATATCAAGGTAGCGCTCGCCATTGGCAGTAAGAGAATTACCTGCAGCGTCTTCAAAGAAGTAAGGTCCAATTATACCTCCATACCAAACAACGCACCCAACTGTGACTCGAAGATGATGTAGTGGTCGTTGATGGACGATACGAGGGTTCTATAATGCCCAGATGCAACAATTCTGCTTATTCCTTTACTAGGTCGTCTGCAGTGCCTCAAGACAATCTATTGTGGGTCTGAATATCCGTGGCTGCATGTTTTCTTCATCACTGCTGTATTCATTTATATCATATACTTCCACTTTTATAGTATAATAATATAATTGAAAACCCAAACATCCCTCAAAACAAATCAATGATTGATGGATTATCAAAATATGTGTCATGTTTATATAACTATAGGCTAAGATGCACCTGCAGTCTGAGTAAACTTGACTAGCAGTTAACTACATCTTTATCGATAAACTACCGATTATAACACAGTGTGGTTTACTTAACCGATAGAAGTGTTGATTAACCGCATATTGAGAAACTGGTCCTTAGTGTCACCGATGCTTAGGGTATTGAAGAGCGCAATAGACAGAGCAGTTACGGGAATCACAGGTGCCATATTAGTTGGCCCTTGCCTCAGATATCTACGTATAGTAGTGAGGTTATTGATATTTTTCGTGGACACAGTTTTCCATTCAACAAATTCATTGAATGGTAACATAGTTAGATGAAATAAAAACATTACGATGACCCTCCGTTTACATCATTCCTATTTAGCTCACGTCTTGCAAGTGCAAGTTTCACCACGTGGGGCACAACATTGAGTTTGGGAAGTTTGGGCAGCCGTTATCTCAACGGACATATTATCCTTAAGTTCTGGCTACCCTTAATTCCGCCCTGTCCAGTTATATCTCAAAGCTATAAAGCATCCCACAGGGCTGAGCAAATATACTGCCCCATGCCATTATTCTAATGTACCCGGATAAAATTTTGTGTGATATATGGAGGTGGAGGCTACAAATTAACTTCTTAGCTGCAATCTCATAGCATAGAACATTCACCCTCCTCTGAGGCCACTATGTGGGGAAAGTAACACAAGACCGCTTGGAGGTAAGCTACTTTGTTGTCGTATAAGTTTTAGGAAGAGGGTTGGTGGGATTGACAAATTAATATTGTTATGCCTAGTTAGTTGGGGCATAATTCAGAGTTATGTAGTGTACACTGGGGAATATGAAATCCATAGTTTTGCTAGGGAGAATTAGCTTAATATGCATAAAATGTTCGAAGCTGGTCTAGTCCGCTTCTGGATAAAAAATTATTTTGGTAGCATAGCTTTCATTCGTCCGACCACAGGTGGCCAACCATTGACAGCTGTTTAGAGCTATTTGGCAACTCCTCTGGATGCTGTAGGCTTGGTCTCGCACCTACCAAATAGCTGCCTAGAATTGCCCGAATGCCGTAGTACGAACGCAAGCTATATTACTAGTTTGTTCATTGGCGAGTGGACCGTATCTACTACAGCACCAGAATCGGCGGCGTCTAGCGGCCGCAATGATGGCCCGGCTGTTGAATATGGTTAAACGCAGAAACCACTACGATGCAACCCGCAACTACTATGGGTTACGCCTCCTCTTCCACCTAAGGCGTGACAGCTGACGTGATGCCAGAAGAAGAACTTCACCATGATGACGAGAGGGGAAAACAAAAACAAAATACAAATTTTTTACAACTGTCACATACACATTCACTTATTACAAGTACTAACATGCTGATTTTAATCCACCTGAGATATTTGGCCCCTCCAAAATGCGAACTGGGTTACAGTTTCAACAGACAGCTTGCTGTTTCCACTCTCGCAGTGGTCAATTCTGACAGCAAATGGCAATTTGTGCTGTCTTCATCCGAAAAACCGTTTTTTCACTGCTAAACTTAATAATCACCAGTATTAGCGGCAATCTTCTATCAGTTTAACAATTGAACTTTATTCAGGTAACCAAATAAGTTCGTGCGGGTTTTAGTAGAAAAATAAAAAAATACACTATTTATTTGTCGAAATAATTACCATCACATTTAACGATATTTTGCCAACGTGGAACCAATTTTTGTATGCCGGTATTTTGGAACTCCCTGGATTTGGAGTAAAAAAATTGGCGGACTGCATTTATTACACCATCTCTAGTTGTGGACTGTCGGTGCCTCATACAGTTGTCAAGAGACAGAAGGTGGTGATAATCACTGGGCCAAATGTCGGGAGAATATGGCGGGTGCGGTAACGTATCCCAGCCGAGTTGAGAAATATTTTCTCGGGTCGCTTTTGCGGTATGAGGCTTGGCATTATCCTGCAAGAATATCACTTTCTTTCGATTGATCAAACAAGGCTGTTTCTGGATGAGTGCTGCTTGTCCTCGTTGAAGCTGCTCACAGTACAAGTTAGCAGTGATGGTTTGACCCCTTTCCAAAAATTCATGATGGACAATAATTGCAGTTGCTGTTCACCAAATACACAACAAAATCTTGTTTGGGCGTGTGTGGTACCGAATCAGTAGGTGACAACCAATGATACGAGCGCTTAAAATTCGAATACAAGATCCATTTTTCGTCGCAGGTTAATAATCGATTAAGAAATGGTTCATTAGCGTTGCGTGAAATGTTTGCTGAACAAACGGTAAGACAACTAAGTTTGTTATCATTTGTCAGTTCCTGTGGGACCCATTTGCTTAACTTCCACGTCTTCCCTAGCTGATGAAGATGCAAACGAATGGTTTCAGGACTCACTCTGGACATTTCTGCAAGTTCTTGGCACGTTGTCCTGGAATTTGCGTCCACAACCTGTCGAAGATCTTCGTTGTTAATGATTTTTGGTCTCCCTGCGGTTCATCGCTCAAACTGAGATCTCCCGATTTTTTGACCCACTTCTGTGCTGTTCGATCACTAACGGCATCATCTCCGAATGCGGTATATATTTTTTGCGTCGCCGCTGCAGCTTTTGTACCAAGTTTGTACTCATACAGTTCACAACTTACTGTTTTATTTGTCATCATTTTCAATTATTAAAACTAGGTATGTAGCAATTTTCAGCAACTTTTGATGTGTGTGACAAAAAAAGGATTCATACTAAAGTGACAACACGTAACCAGTAACAAACAATCGCTATCGATCAACAACATCCAGGGCAATGTGCGATATGCAGCAACCGCACTAACTTATTTGGTTACCTGGCATTCGAAGTACTTGGAGACAATTGAGAAATAGGGAATCTATAGCTCCTCATATAGCTGCCCTTCTTGAATGGGTCATCAATCGGCATAGCAATAGTAAAAGGACTGCAATGTCAACAGAATGAAGACACTTTCAACTAACATTGAAGTGTTTGTAAAATGAGCTGGAAACGTCATGGTCGTGACGTAAAATCGAATATTGTGTGATACATAATATATGTAAATACACAGATACGAACCTCAGGTTATAAAAATGCTCGTCCAATAATCACTCACCTCTCAAAATATGTATTTAACGTACTATTTTATGAATATTATTGCTCTAGTAACGTTTCATCAGCTTCAACGGACTTTTGAAGATATATGATAGAAGAATGTTGCAGCTTTAAGTTATTCATTCATCCAATGATTCCAAAATATAATCTATTTATTCGTTAATTAAAGTGCGTAGTCCCTTTTCTCGATAGCCTATACGAAAGTGAGTTGGATTTTTTTTGAGCTTCTCAGATTGTACTTGCAAGTATTACAGCGACCGAATACATATGACGTTGCATATCCTCCTGAAAATACCGTCAAAGTTCATGAATTTAGACTAAGTAGAAGGAGCAAATAATTTGTCTGGGACCAATTAAGTAGTCAGTAGTCAGGTTATAAGTTCATACTATAAATCAATCAAGATTAAGCCGCCAGTTTGACAGTTATTGACATTTCACATTGAATTCGTATTTCCCCGAAAGAACATATAAATGTGCATGAGATCCATACACCCCTGGTACTGCAGATAATTGCCAAAAATGGCGAAAGTTCTTCTGGAATTCAAAAAGCAGTTCAAAGTGAGTAAGAACATACCACCCAACTAGCAAAGTAGTGGTATAAGCTTTTCAGCCATAAAAGCTCTCTATTGTTGTTGCCTGAACAGCAAAATGCTGGCTTAATGTTGTGTGGAATGCAAATTTGCTTTCTGCAACATATTTGCTCTAAAATGAGGTGTTTAAAATATTCTCAAAGCATAGTTATACAACACCTTATAGGGCAAATTTTTAACTGTTGCATAAACATTTATACAACTATTTTATACGGCATATTTGCACGTTAGTCAAAATGGTTGTGTTGTGGCACCCATGCTAACGTTTATAAAGCAAACCCGATCCTTGTTGCTTTGCTGTGCAACTTACTACATTAGCCAACAAATTGCTCCCAACGGAAGCACTTACACAACTGTTACATATGCTAAATATGTTGGTAAACAACTTCACCATAACCTAACATTCTGCTGTCATATTTTTGTTAAAATGCCATAACCAATATTTTAAGACAAACAACGCATGCATATCGGTTCAAAAGGTTTTATCAACTGTTCAAACAGAAGATATAGATCTGGTACAAATTCTGGGTAAATCATTCGACTCTGTCGGTATTTCATTTCAGACATTTGTCAAATTGTTGTATAACACCTGCAGGCAACACCAAAATATTCTAATAACCTAAAGACAACATGGACGATGCCATGATTGTACACAACCACCCGCCATATTGGGCAAACATTTATTCCTCTATTTAATATTAAATAATTATGTTTCAGTTCGAACTTACAGATATAAAGTGATGAACATTAGTGTAATTGTGTCTAAATATAGGAATTGTGGAAGATTTAACGCAGATAAGTTCAGTTTTCCATCTTAAAAATCTAGACATACTTTTGATCATTGTCAAAATATGAATCAAATACGAAGCCCGTAGAAATGGGGTAACTAATTTGCACGATAATCACAATAAAATTTGCTGCGCAAGTAATTCAATAGCCCTATATCACAGTGTAGAAGTTTATCATATACCTGTGTATGAAATTCACAATGGCGGATATGTAAGTAAACAAGAGGACTGTAATGTGTTAGTTATATATTCTTCACTTTGTCTATACAATACATAAGAAATAGTTTGGTTGCAATAAAGTAGAATCACGTAACCGAATAGTTGTATGTATAGTTGACAAAAACTAAATCTTGCACTGACGCAAATGTCCTATAGCGGCTGCAAGAGGCTTACACTTTTGTTGTATAACTGTTACCTGCAGCCCTTATACATCCTCTTAAATGACTGAAGCGTCCTATTAGGTGTGCCTATTTCGCTTGTATAGCTTTTTTAAGAGGGTTTTGCTAATGTTCTTACAGTATACAATGCTGTTTAGGGAATACTGTATAATCATTCTTGCAACTCTAATAGGAGTGATAATTGTTAGTTGGGCACTTTATCGATAAGTGTTGAAGCCGCTCCACACTCACGCGAGAATATCGCCGATAATCTCGGCAAGAATCTCAGCGAAAATCTCGGCGAGAACTTCTTTGGGACAATATTCGCCAGACTCTCAATACAGTTCTCGTGCCCGATCACGAAGGACGCAGAATTAAATGTCGTTGACAAAAGCACCAGATTTTTCAGATTTATTGATTTTATTTTTATACCTTCTGTAGCTGCCTAATAACGATTTTTTTTGTTATTCTAGTTCTCCAATGGGTAATTCCATCAAGGTACTAATACGTTTCCACGCATCGCGGGCTCTTAGTTTATTTTCATATTCTTTTAAATTTGTATTCTACAAAATCGGTTCTGCTTGAAAATATTCTAAGAATGCCAATTCCAGTTCGTTCCTCCAAATCCGGCTCATATTGGTGCTCAGTAGTAAATACCATGCACAACTGTTCTAATCGGCGAGTCACCTGTCACTGAGAAACATGCGAGTGTGGAGTCAATACAAGTTCTCTGCTGTTCACGCGTTCTCAGCTCTTTTGTCTCGCGCTAAAAAACCGACAAAAGTCGGAGAACAGCCCGAGAACCTGCGAAGATTATGAAAATCGGTTCCACTTTCACATTTCTAATGTCTTTCTCGCTTTGTCGCGAGATTCTCGCGTGAGTGTGGAGAGGCTTTTAATATATACTATAATCACAAGCGTTGCGAAATGGCATGAGCCTTAACATTGGACTTTTACCTCGACAGTCGTAAGGTAATTTTGATTCATTTAATTTCATTCTTTGCTTCTATTGAGAAAACTCCCCAGAAAGACTATGAATATCAAATTAATTAAGTTACTTCCAAATATTTTTATTAGATGAATATAGCAATGATTATAATATCAGTAATTTCCACACTATGCTGAACTAGATATTAATTTGCTCCGATCATGACTACTATTCAGAAAAACTGGATAGAATTCAAGCAAGGCGTCTCGCTGTGTCCGATATCAGGTATTTCGTCATTGCTGTTGTTTGATAAACAATTTTTCGTATTTAAACTGGTTCATATGCTGTACCACACCCGTATTTACTTTCGTTTTTTGCTTTATTTAATTTGTTCTTGTTTATTAACAATAACACATCACAACACTGATAGTACTCGTATTACTGTCTTGCTTCATTTGAGTTCACCCTCTATGAATAGCTACTTGAATATTCTTTCCAGACAAAATAACTAACTTCGATGTATTGGCTTGTCACTTTGGTAGGCATTGGTAAGCAAATCAGCTATTAGTTATGTACTAAAACTACACAACTTTGGCGACAAGCAATGCAACGTAACCATATACGTATAGTTCTTGGCGGGTCAAAGTAAGACTATCAGTATTCCTTTATATATCTCCATCCCCCTAATACATACACATGTAATCTACCCCTGTGTGTAAACGTTTGTTTGAAAAGCTCAAAGACGTTACGTATGAGTGCCCTTCAATCATATTTGTAGAGTGACAACTTATTTGACATCGGCGTACAATTTTGGTTATCCTGTTATCAGTCTTCTATATAAAATTGTACAATGTCCGGAAATACGATCAATGTAGAAGGCCGACAGCTCGTGCTAAATTTATTAGAGTATTTCCAGGAAGAGAATGAAAATAGCGCAACTTCATGCGTACTGGGAAGAGTAGCAGAAGGTACGGAGACTCGATCTGTGTACTTATTTCATATGGCGTTGGTGTCGTAACCGGCAAGAACAGTGACTACAACTATAGGTTTGTATCCATCTACCCCTTGGTTTGGCTCACTTGAGCATTGAAAAAAAGCACATGAGCTGACCTCGACCAGAACATAATTTACAAAATTGACATTTTTTTTAAGTTTATCATAGAGCTACGATTGGAACTCCATTTTTTGCACTTTGCTGACATGGATCGCTGTAAATAGACCCAGGTTCAGTTTCTTAATTATTGTGGTTTAAGTGAGGAAAGATCTCACACAGCTGAGGTTGGTCTGTTGGTAATGCAGTTGGGGAAACGGGGGATAAAGAAATCTTGGTTTTGGTGAAAAGAACGTTTACTAAACCGGATAAAGTGAGGTGGGTGAGTATCTGATATTGTCTGTAAAACAAACGCAACTTGTTAGGTGACAGATCAAACAACAGAATTGAGCTACTTTTCATGTTACAGAAACCACACCACCCAAAAGAAGGAGAATTAATTACACGACAAATACTTCTCTCGTCTACTCATGGATTTATTTTAAGCCTAATGAATGATCAAGTGCTATCAAATACGCAAATTCAACCACTGCATAAAATGACCTTTTAGATTTTTTATCGATTTTGGTCGTTCAGAGGCTTTGACCACTTCAAACGCACAAAGGCTCTTTCAAGTGGAGCGGCGAGCAAATTGAGGTCGTTTAG